ATTGTTTGTCCAAAAAGAGGGCAGTGCACAAGCTACCATTCAGAGACTATCGGACTGGGGTACCGAGAGCAAGCTAATTATGTCTAAGTCATATGAGTATTTCCAGTCGAAGGGAACTAACAAAACTAGGGCAACAGATGTTTGGAAGTCATTATCACACCAAAACACTCATTTATACTTTGGCTAAGTGCCCAATCTAGGCTACTTACCAATGATAAATTACAACATTTGGAGATAGACCAAAGCTATGCTTTCTGTGGAGTTAACGAAGAATCTGGCAAGCACCTATTTTTTTGGTTGAGAGTGAGACGAGTCATGTCTACACTAGCTAGTGCGTTGAAATGGATTAAAAAGGAAGCTTGAGGGATATCTTGGCAGAGCAAAGCCAAGAGAATTGCGCTTGCTTGCACCATTTACTACCTTTGGATGACGAGAAATAGGAAGATTTTTGATGATCTTACACCACACATTGTTGACATAATGAGACGAATTAAAACACATGTATACAAAGTCACGTTTTTATTGTACCTTTATGTTTTGATTCATTTTAAGTCTCTAGCATTATGTCTTTAAATCCTATCGTCAATACATTTTTTGTTCTTGTTTAGCCCGAGTATGCCCGGAGTACTTGTATATGAGTTTTAATCCATAGAAATTTACATTTACCGTTAAAATAAAATAAAATAAGTACTCCAAAAAATTGCTAATAAGGAAAGCATTTGAAATAGCAATCTACACTAGAAACTAATTTCATTAAAAACAACAGTCACAATCGAATGGGCATAGACGGCTACCTCCAGCATCTGGCTTTCCAATGCCTAACTCCTCTTCTGTATAAATCGTCAGCCCATCTCCGGTTTTCTTCCTGGGCCGAGAAGGAGTGTCAGCAAACAAATTTTCTTCGGGGATTCTATTCTTGCGCTTCTTTTTTATCTTCACCTCGTTATGAGGTTCTACTTTTGCAGCTGAATCTTTCACTAGTTTCTTAATCTCAGCCGTTTCCTTTTCGGGTTTCTTCCTCTTCTTCCCAGCAAATATTTCATCAATCTCACTACCCATTTTCTTGAACTTCTGTTGTACATGGTCTTTGGTTGCTGATTTAGCCTTCTTAGTTGAACTGGTTTTAGTCATTTTAATTTGTACACTTTTGTATCTGCAAAGTCAGAAATCTTAACATTAAATTCACAACGAACAATTTATTTTGAACAATTTTTTAAATGGAGAACACAACACAATACTTAAAACGGAGAGATCAAAGCAAGTATACAATTTTTTGTACATCCATTGCAAAAAGATAAGATAATGGAATTGCAAATGGTGGGCGTGACTACAGAACTTTATATCAAGAATCAACCCAATTGCTTTGACCTAATTTTTTATAGTCTTAATTGTATTGAAGTTTTAAATCTATCATATTTTTCAACACCTTTCAAATCTTGTTTACTCTTTACCAAAATAGCAAATCCCAGCTACCTGGCTCTAATACACTTTTTAGCGACTAAAGAACTGATAAAAAGTAATAGCAATATAATTTTAAACACGCTAGATTTAGAAAATATATTAAATGATTACAAATAAATAAGCAATAACCAACATAGTGCCAAAAGTGAAGGACCTCTCGCCCTTTTTCGCAGAAACAAAAAACAATCAAGGTCTTGTCAGGAGGCACCTTATGTATTACTACATGACCAATGTCTTGCCAAAAATGGCAATGACCTCGTGTCTTGCTAAAAGAATATGAGCAATTACCATCGTCTTGACAATGGCAATGACCGCACGTCTTGCTAAGAAAGAATATGACGAGGGCCTTGCCAGAAAGAAACTATGACCAATGTTTGCGAAAAGGAAATGACCATACATCATGCTAATAAAAAAGCAACAATGTAACCTCAGGGGCCAGCGGATATAAATTACAATTATGGTCCCTGGCTAAACTCAATTAAGCGTATGCCCCCAAAAAATGTTAAAACTGATCCTAGTAAGAGCAGCTAGAAAAGGAGTCCAGACAGACTAATGAAAAATTCAGTCTTATTGAAACCTTCTACCACATAGCTAATTTAGGGTGGTGTAGTAGTCCAGTGATGGTAAGACTACTAAATATAGGTCTCTGATCACTATAAATACAACACTTAAATTGTAGTTAGAAGGTACACAATTCTCAATCTATTTAATCTCTTGTCTATTTAGCACTTTGAAATTAAGCATATCAGAGTTGTCAGCCGACCATTCGCCCCCACTTTTGTTAAGGGCATTATATGTCGTGTTGTCCAAGGACTGAACTGGCTTCTGACTATAACAAAAATGATAACACCTATATATCAACATTTTGTATCGCCCCCATTGTCTGAAGAAACAATTC